GGGGGGGGGTCGTCCTCCCCTTGCTTTTCTTTCTTCTCTCTTCCTGCTGTAATCTCCTGAGCGGGGCGCGCGTCGTGGCGGCCTGCAAGGCAAGCGGCGGCGATGAGTGAGGCAGCGCACAGGTACTAGAGGAAAAACAAATATGTGTATGTCTTTCTCAATGGGGAAAAATTCTCTTAATGCTAAAAGGAGGCAAATCTATCAATTCTGAATGAAGGACAGGGCCGTGAATTGCCTGTTTCTTTGGTGGCGTGTGCTGTGTCTGTAAGTAGACGTGTGGAAGAAATGCAAGAGAAGGTGGAACAAGCACACTAACGGTGAAAATGTTTCCTTCGAAATACTGTTGCTTCCTTGTCGGTGTATGTGTGTGTGTTTTCTTTGATCCAAACCCTTTTTGTTTTCTCCTCTCTGTCTCTCCTGCCAGTGTATCCTTTCTTCAGACCACATCTTCCTTAGTTTTTGACACCATTAAACGCATCTTTATTCGCGTTTACATATGAAAAGATTTTCTTTCTTCTGTCCCTCTCCTTTCTTTATATATATATATATATCTTTATATATGTTGATAGCTACATACTGCGGATACCTCGTTCAGCTTGCTTACCTGCGTGCGCGCGTGGGGTTGTTTATGGCATACGCGCGAGGAGGCACCGCTTGAGTAGGATTATTCATGGAAAGTATGTTGCAATGTGGCAAAGAAAATTCACGAATGCTGAAAAAGCATATATATATATATATATATATATACACACAGCTGAAAAGAAAGAACATGGAAATACGGTGGACTGCCTTTTCATCATAAAATTGAATGGCCTGTGTGCTGTGTTTCTGTGGTGCTACATTCTTGTGTTTTTTTTTCTTTCTTTACTCTGCATTGCCTTTAAAAAATCCACCTGCATTCATCTACACTGGCACGTTCACTCATCGTGCACAAATATGCAAACGATCATGCAACCTCATCTGCTTGCTCTCATTCTTTTAATTATTTTGACAGTGCCTTTAACAAAGGTGGATATTTGGGTTTATATAGTTTTCTAAATTCTTTACCCCAAGAAAAAAGGTGCGTCTGCAACGATGACTCCAGAGGAGCTGCGGAGTCACACGACCGTGGAAGCCTTGCTGATGCACTACAGCCCAGCTGCCGCAACGGCGATCAGCACATATATTGGGGAATTCTTGGCGTATATACACAACTTCGGCACTATTAGTTGTTCCTTTTTAAAACAGGATAATCAGTCTCTACTGTTTCTTGTCTGTCCGCTATATGTTGTGCCACCTGGTGTTAACAAGACCGAGGCGAATTGCCGCGACACTGAAACGGCCCTTCTCCACGTTGGGGTTCTTTTCCCCTCCATGTTTCCCTCTGTATTGCCCTTCTGCAGTGTCATGGCGAACCGTTGTTCCCACAAGGGCGTGAAATGGACGACGCGACAGTCATCACGTGTGTTGGCACCAAATGGTAGTGTGCAGCTGTGCGAGCTTTCCCTCCTCAAGGGCTCCACCCCACCCTACTCATTATTGGAGATTTTGGTGGCACTAACAGAGCAGTTTGAACTAGAATTTCCTCTGATTCCGGTAAATCTTGCTGGGCAGAGCAAAACGGCTGCACCTGGTGCTGTACGAGGCGGGGGGGCGACGACATTCTCTGACACTGAGAGAAATGCTGTTATTCGGCGTGCGTCCGAGGCGGTTCTGCTCCATGTGCTGTCCAAGGCTGATAAGTACTTGGAAACCAGGGAAGAGGCCCTTCGTCACCTTCAGCGTCTCTATCAGTCTGACGGTGCACTAAGGGAGGCTCGGGCGTTGCTTGGGAAGAGAAAGGAAGAGCTTCAACAGTACGCTCCCGCTATGTGGAAGGTGGAACGTCTCGTATCCACCTGTTCTCACCTTCCGAATTCCTTAGAGGTACACTCCACGTGCATAGTTCCTGCTGATGACCTGCATGCGCGTGCTCTGGAGCTTCTTGGGGAGATCCACGCCTCGGATGACTTGATGGATTTGCTTGAGAGGTCCCTAAAGGCTGGGCAGCTTTCCTGTGACGAGTATGTTCGTCTTGTGTCTGACCTCAGTCGTAAACAGTTTGAAGCACGGTTTTTGTTCGGTCATGTGGCGGAAGCTGTGAATCGAACGACTGCAACGGGGTCTGGCTCACCGTTGCCTTCAGCCCCGCCACGCAATAGACCGAATCACGGTAAAGTTGAGGTACCTTCCAAAATAGGGAATGAGGAGGTGCTGCGGAGGGAATTCCCAGAGGTTGGCCCAGACGTGGTGAAGGCGGTGCTCAACCTTGCCGACGGGAACTTAGCGGACGCCCGTGTCCAGATAAAGGCGATGCTCTCTTAGCAAGGCGCTGGGACGTGCGTGGATGTGTTTTCTAGACTTCGTCTCCCCGTTTTTTTCTCACGTACTTTTTTTTTTCTCTCTCTGTGTGTGTACTTGCTACTGCGTAGTTGAATCACGTTCAATGAAGACGAACAAAAAGGCGTTGGACGGGTGAGTGGTGCTGGCTACGTCAATTCAATGTGAATGGTTCCCATTCTGCTTTTTTTTTGGCTTTCAATGTTTTCAATGAATTCATTAATGCAGTCTTCCTTTTACGATTTGCCATTTCTTTTCTTTTTTTGCTATTTATATGTCTAGGGCCTCACAAGAGGCGTGTGTGTGTGCAAAGGTGTGAGTCGGTGTAGCGATGGGGCATAATGATGCCGCCCCTTTGAATCACCAGGAGAAGTGGCTGAAGGGCCTGAAGTACTGCACCATACCTGATAACTTGTCCAGTATTTATACCGACCCGAGAACGGTGCAAGCTGTTGCACGCTACTTGGAGGAGTTTGTCCCCTTTGCTACCATCTACCCCGCAAGTATTTGCTTCATCAAAAAGGACCAGCACCGCGTGGTGTCTCTGAGTTTCCGGCTTCGCATCACCCCGGTGGGAAGCAGCACTCCCAAAGAGATGGATGTTGGCTTCATCATACCGCAAAGCTTCCCGGTGGCGTTGCCCAAATGTCGTGTGCGGCTTCGCAACCCCACTAGTACGCTAACGAATAAAGGGACGCCGCAAGACATTGCGGTACGTCTCGAGGATCTGCCATCACTGAAGACCGAGCGGTTTCCCTGCCCTCTATTGGCCATCCTGAAGGGTCTCAGTAAGGAGTTCCAGGAGAATCTTGACAACTTCATAAAGGATGAATCTCATTCAGAGCAACTACAGCAACAGAGAAGTGGGAATAATGCTGGTAATTACGCCGCTGCTATACCTGCGGCCGAAACGCTTCCTCATGTGAGGCCCTGTACTAGGGATATCTCACGTGAGAGAGAGGCGACACGTTCTGAGCCACTTTCAGTCGTCGAAGAACAGTGTTCTGCATCAGTTCAACTGGCGGCTCGCCTCATTGTTTCTTGGCAAGAGTGTTTTTCGACGACTTACCTCAACCTAAGAGAGGATAGTATGCCTCTACTTGGGAAACTGCAAGCATGCCATAGAGAAATGCGGCGAAAAAAAAATCTACTACAGCAACAACGAGATAGAATAAACCAGATGTCTGCAAAAATGAAAAAAATACAGCACTCGGTAACAGCTTTCAAAGACGTTGAGAACTCTGCTGAGGTACATTCGAAGTGCATTGTTCCTGCGGATGACCGACAGGCACAAGTATTAGACCTTCTGGGAGAGATCCATGCCTGTGATGACACTTTGGACATCCTCGTAAGATCCCTCACGGTTCAGCAGCTCTCTTGTAACGAGTTCATTCAATATGTGTCTGATATTAGTCGAAAAAAGTTCCATGCACTGTTTCTCTTACGTTGTGTGACCCACACATCGGGTTGAAAACACCTGTAGTTGTACTTCAAAAGGCTTTGCTAGAGTGATGGCTTGGTTATGCTGAACGTGCAGCTTATTTTTAAAAAACTTTATCTGCATGACTGTGCTCATGCGATTTTGTTGCCTCGCTTCATCTGTGGATCAGCCTCGTGGAGGACCACGTGAGTCTGCTCTTTGTTGGTGAATGGAGGCAAGGGTTTCGGTGTTGTTAACCTGTGTATATGCGTCTCTCCGCTATTGGCTCTATGCGAACAGTGGCGGCGACATATTAGATAAATAAATAAATATATATATATATA